TGTGATATTTCAGCAGTTCTTTTATAACCCAGCAACTTCTAAATGTTGAAGTGCCCAGACTCAGTCATTGGACACCTTTTCTTTTCTATCTGCATTCACTCCTTAGGGCAACTCATTCAGTTTCACTGATGACTCCCAAATTTATATCTCCAGCCTGGATCATACCACTCAACTTCAGACCCATATATCCAGCTACCTACTAGACACCACTACTTGGATGCTTACCGGCCATCTCAAACCTAATGTGTTCAAACATCTCAAAGCTAATGTGTCCAAAACTGATACCAACTCCTCCTGCAATATTCCCACATCAGTTCATGACAACACCATTGTTCTTGTCACATAGGCCAAAAACCTTCATCTCACGTTTGGCTCCTCTCTTTCTCTCACATCCTGCATCTGACCCATCGGCAAATTCTTTGGTTCTACCTGCAAAGTATGCCCAGAATTTGACCACTTCTCTCCACCTGCACTACCACCTCCCTGGCCCCAGACTCCTTCATCTTTACCTGGTACTGAGCTAGGCTCCTAACTATTCTCCCTGCTTCTGACCGTGTTTTCCTCAGTCTATTCACAATGCAGCAGTAAGAATTTTCTGTAAAAATACAAAGTAGATCATGCCATTCTTCTGCTCAAAACTCTCCAATGACTCCCCATCTTACTCGGAATAAAAGCTAAAGTACTTACTGAGACTTATTAGTCACATGATCCTGTTCCCCATTACCTCTCAGATCTCATCACTTATTCTCTTCCCTTATGCTCTCTGTTCTTGCTGTATCAGCCTCACTGCTATTCCTCCAATACACCAGACATACTCACATCAGGGCCTTTGCCCTTGCTGCTGTCTTTGCCAACAATGCTCTTCCCCCAGAATCTGCACGAGCATGCAGCATCTGGTAAATGGCAGGCTCCATATGTTGGGGGGCCTGAGTAGAGATGAGAAAAGGGGGTGAACAGGAAGAGACAGTGGATTCAGGTCCCATGCAAGAAACAAAATGGCTCATCTTCCTTCTACCTGGCTTCACGAGCTCAGGGGCTCTCCTTATGGGAAACTTGCCCTACCCAGGTTCTCAGGAAGTATCCTACTCCCCACCCTACCCTGAGAAGAGCCTCAAGCCCTGATGGGATCACATCTCTTTAGCATGTTTATGGACCTACTAAAAAGGAAATATCTCACTCCCCTGACACTGAATTGACCAAGCCTCATAGGCAGCCAGTCCCTTCTGCTTGCTCATTCCAGTTCTACCTGATGCATCAGAAAAATCATTCCCCTGGATTCCACCCACCCTTCCTCAAGACACCCCCTGCTCCTAAAGGGCATAGGGAAGAATGAGTCTTCCTTCAATCATTCACTTTCATATTTATTTCCACCATTTTCCCTGAACCATCCATAGTAAGTTCACTCCCCACTCCCCTTCCCTGTAGCTCTTCTTACTCTATCTCCCTTCTCTTCCTCTGCCCTTTCTTGCTGCTTCCAATCACCAGGCCTACCCCATTATCATTCCTTTGTGAACTCTCTCTGAGGTCTCAAAAGAGAGGGAGGATGAGGAGAAGGGAGAGCAGGTGGGAAGACTGGTGTGGCAAGGCCACAACCTCCAGGACACAACAGCCCAGGACAGGGCTGAGTTAGGAGGGAAAGGCAAGTAGACATGAGCCGATGGGTTGCGGATGGGAGGATGCAGAAGGCCGAAGAGACAAGGAAACAGATGCAAAGAGAAAGAGAACCTGTGATGAGATGGTGATGCAGAGATAGCATCAGCCAGAAAAAGGGGGTCAAAGTCAGAGGCAGAAACGGGGAGCGAAGCAAAAGCTGATATATGGCAGAGAAGCCAGAGACAGGAGGGGCAAGAGAGAGTCAGGCACCCAGAGATAGAGTAAGACAGACGAACAGAGAGGAGGCCAGAGACAGACCAAAAAGAGAGAGAGACAGAGGCGCCAGCCAGAAAGGGAGGGAAGGAAAGAGAGAAGGGCCCACAGACATGGAAAGACGGTGGCAGCAAGAGAGAGGGAGAGAGAGACAAAGACTCAGAGGGAGAGACACGCACACAGACCAGAAGGTTGCAAAGAAGGAGAGGGAGAAAAAAGTGGCGACGCGGGGAGTAGCGGGAAGCGGCCTGGAGCGGGGCGGGCGCAGCGGAGCGGGCACGGCGCCGGGAGCGGGCTCATAAAAGCCGCGCGCCGAGCGGGGAAATTGCCGCCAGAATCGCTGAGCTCCACAAAACGCCGCCCGCGCGGCCCGCCACCGCACCAGCTCCAATCTCCAGCCTCATCGCCGCGCAGGCTGGTTATGCATTTAAATGTTATTTAATTGGATTGCGGAGGAGCTGGGGGCCAGAGCACCAACCCCCGCCCCCGCCCCGCACGCTCCGCATGCCCGGGCTGCTCGCCTCTTCCGCAAATCTGTTTTCCAAGTCACAGATTGCAGGGCGCCTCCTCCCAATACGCTGCCCAACACACCCCGACGGCTCCCCCTTCAAGTCTGGGCTCCCTCTGTTCTCCCTCCCAAATCGAGCCAGAGGACAATCAGAAAGACACAATGAATCCCCTAAAGATGCACGAAAACACAGAGGATACACAAAAATACTATAGTCACACAAAGACACAATAGTAGCAAAAACAGGTCACACACTAAATTACACAGGTGTCCATCCGGAAGATTACAAAATGCTGAGGCAAAAAAAGATCCCCATGAATCATGAGAGGACACAAACGCACATAATACTCCAGAGGGAACACCACCCTACCCACTGGAATGGTGATTACAGAGTGACATTACCACAGAGGGTAACAAAATGATGCTAACTTGGAGACCGCACAGCGAGACACACAGACCTTCCTCAGAGCTGGGTAATGAGCAAAACACACATTCACTCCACACACAGAGCAAACTCATCACACCCCAATCATTCCACTGTGTGGCTTTCTGAGGTTGGAAGGCAAACTCCTCCCTCAAAGATACCTTGTTCTTCTCCCACATAACAGCAGAAAGTATCCTCAGATGAGGTTCTGAGAGGCAATTTTATCAGTCATCAAGCTCCTAAAAACTAAAGAAAGAAACAACAAACTGGGTCAAAATTACAACAGGAAGGCTTAAGACAGTCCCTGTGTGATGCAAATGGTTAACACGCTTGACTGCTAACTGAAAGGTTGGTGGTTGGAGTCCACTCAGAGGCACCTTGGAATAAAGGACTGGCAATCTACTTCGGAAAAATTAGTCACTGAAAATTCTATGGAGCACAGTTCTACTCTGACACACATGGAGTCACCATGAGTGGGATCAATTATAAGGCAACTGGAAATGGCTTGAAAGTAGAGACCAGAAAGGCCCTTCTAAGAGGAGAGATACTGGGAGGTGAGTCTGGGTATTTGTATGAGGCTGGACATCTCTACTGACTGCAAAAGAGACTCATTTTTGCAGCCTGGATGAGAAGTTAGTACCATAAAGGTAGATAGAAAGACGGAATGACCTGCAAAGGCATGTCCTCCACACGCTCCCAACCAGAAGACAGGAAATTGTTCAAGCTGCTTCAATTAATAAAAATGGCAATGGCAACTGGCTTGGCACAGACCACCATGGAGAGCTGTTCTGGGCTCTTGGCCACCCCCTCTGCAAGCTCAGCCTAGAGACTGACGTCAGACTGAGGATCCTTGAGCTGGATGTAGGGGCAGAAGAATGGGCAAAAAGAGGTGCAGGAAAATTCTATTGCCATTGTTTTGTTCTGTTTTTGAGAGAGGGCCAAAACAGGGAGGGAGAGAAAAAGGGTAAGTTTCCCAAAATACATTATAATTCAACCTTGACTGGTAAGCTTGGACTTGGGCCAGGTTGGCATTAAGGCCTCTGGAGAAGAAAGCAATTCAGCTTCCCCCAAAGCAACTTATTTCTGCATCACCTAATGGTCATGGCTGGGAAGTTCATCCATGTGTCTAACCTCAATGTCTCATCCTCCAGTTGAAGTTATTTCCTTCTTTGAGGCATTATGAAAAAAACAAAACAAAACAGAAAATAGCTGTCCTACATCTTCCTAAACAAGGATCCTTGAAGAATCAAGACTCAGTCTGGGCTGGGCCACTACCTCTATTCTCTTCTATTCCACCCCTAGTCTTCTCTGCCCCAGCTATGCCCAGGCTGGGTTTCCAAAGTCTTTTTTGATCTAGCACCTAGACACACCTTGTTAATACCTGTTGCAGTTTTCCAGCCCGTAAGTTAACAGAACAAGAGATCAAAGACGGAGCCCGAGAACAACCTACTTCCCATCTCCCATAGAGTCAAACCCAACCCTTAGCCCCATTCTAATTCCTGGCCTCCAGCACCCTTTCCCTCATCCTGTTTCCTATCCCCTTGCAGGTGAAGCAGAGAAATTCTTGGAAATATCTGACATAGTGGTCCCCTTTTAAAAAAAAAAAAAAATCAACTTCGTGGCAGTGTTAAGATTTAGCAAGTGATGAAAGAAGAAATCTTCAGCCACCGCCTGCTCTCACTGGCACACATGCCTTCTACCCACATTCTGAGAGCTAATCACTTCCTCCTTCATTGTGTCCAGAGCACTGTTTATAACTTATTCACAACACATTTTCAGCCTGATTTACACTATAATTATATGCCTGTATCTCTCTGTACCAGACAGTGAACATGAGGGCAAAGAATCATCTAACTCACTTCTGTCGCTCCCTACAGTGCCTAGCATGGGGGATGGCACACACAGCAGCCGCAATAAATGTTTGTTGGATTGAGAAAGGAAAGGAAAGTGAGGGACCACAAAGAGGTCAAACTCAAGACTCAGGCTTCCTTGAAGCCATCCTGCTTCAGTAAGGGAAAAAAAAAAATGAGGTAAGAAGAGTCTCTTATCTCCCCAACTCACCTCACCTCTCAGTCTCGGAACTCCCACCCCGAGCACAGCCTTGACGTCTATCAAGTTGAGTGAGTGAGTGAGTGAGTGAGTGAGTGAGTGAGTGAGTGAGTGAGTGAGTGTGTGTGTGTGTGTGTGTGTGTGTGTGTGTGTGTGTGTGTGTTGGGGTGGGACATTTAAACCTCCATCACTGCTCGGAACCATCACTGGGCAAAAGCAACAGACTCTGGGCACTCATATTACTAGACAGACACTCTTAATTTTCTAGGGCTGCCATAATAAAACATCACAAATGGATGGCTTTAAAGAACAGAAATTTTGTCTCACAGTTTAGAGGCTAGAAGTCCAAATCAGGGGATATCAGCTCTAGAGAAAGGTGCTCCTTTGTCTCTTTCAGGTTGCAGTAGCTGTGGGCAATCCTTGGCTTTCCTGGGCTAGTAGATGCATCTGTCCTTCCCCCCTGTGTATGTGTCTCTGTGTGTCTGTACTCCCCTTTATAAAACACTACTCAGAAGGGATTAGGTTTAGGACCCGCCCTACTCTGGTATGAACTCCTTAACAGAAAAAAGGAAAACTTTATTTTCAAACAGGATCACAGGTACACTCATTAGGGCTTCAACATATATTTGGGGTGGGGGGATACAAGTCAATTCATAACAGACAACATGGAGTTATCTCCAAAACCAGTAGATTCATACATTACTTACACATTTGTACTGAACACCTACTTTGTGCCAGGCAGGGGGTTACATACTGGGGAAAGTAAGAAAAAAAGCGATCCTCTCCTTGCCTTCAAGACACCCGACGGTGCACTGACTGCATATTGGTAGCAAAAAGAGATACTGTTAAAAATACAGACACCCAGGTTGCACTTCAGACCTCCTAAATCAGAATCTCCTGGAGTGGAGCTGGACCCTTATATTTTAAATCCCCACAGATTAATTCTGATTCACAGGCAGGGTTTTAAGCCACTGATCTCTAGATCAGCGCTGTCCAATATAATTTCCTGCAATGATGGAAATGTACCATATCTGCATTATCCATATGTGGCTATTGTGTACTTGAAATATGGCTAGTGACTGAGAAATTATTTTACTTTAGGTTTAAACAGCTACACGTGGCTAGGGGCTACCATACTGGACTGCAAAATTCTAGATGTTCGCAAATCATTTAAATTTGACTTTAGAATACTTCAGACAATATTGTTTTGTAGTAACTAAATTGTTCATTCCCTTTGGCTTAGGAGAAAATACGAGCTTCCTTTCCCTGAGGACACTCTCATTTGTACTGAAGAAGCTGCTCTGGGATGAGTTGGGCGATACAAGCCTGTGGAGTGGGATTAAATCCTATCAGGTAGCTAACCTGCCAGACAAGCCTCCACCCCCAACCCTGGAGAACTTTCACCAACTCTAGGCTTTCACCCAGTTTCTGCTATCCCCCTGGGACTCCCTTCCCACTCCTGACCCTATTCCACCTACAATGCCTCCTATATGGCTAGCCCCTTCATCCCCATCTGTGGGTTTCTACCTATTGTTGGGTATTTTACACGTGTTCTATGCATCTCACTTGCCCCACTGGAGTGTAAATTCTCAAAGACTACCCTTATCATTTAGGACTTTTCACAAGCTGGACCAACTTACCTCTCAAGCTTTCTCTCCCAACTGGGTCAGCATTAATCTATTTGACATCCCTTGAACATACTGATGCTCTTTTCTAAGCTCTCCAAAATTGTTTTTGAAGGCCATCTGAAATGCTACCTCTTCCAGAGAGCGTTCCCTGATCACCTCAGCTAGATATATAGGGAAACAACAATGGCTTCTCTTTGCAATTACCCCACAGTGCTTAATCCAGTGATCTGCAAACATGAGGTACTCGCTCTTAGCACTACAGCACTAAAAGCAGAAAGAGAAGAAAAGGAGTTTAAAGGGTGGGGGAGTGGGAGAGGGTGTACAGAGGAAATTGTTACCAAAAACTCTTATTTTGAAAGTTGGAGATGACTGTCCCAGGAGATAGATCATGGGTTCTTCATTGGGGTGGTCTCCAAACCTGTTCTACTTCCAACTTGATTCACTTTTCAGTCCTTACCAAAGGGGCATCCCAACCTGCCATTGGGCAGACGTGAGAAGTGAGTTAGCTGGAGATAGCAGGCACCCACCCACCCATCACCTGCTCCTCACAGTGCCCTGAGTTTCAGACAAACTACTGGACAGGCCCCTAACAGAGACCCTGTAGCTTTGGTAAGGTAAAGGTCTGTTTACACACACCCCGTGCCCAAGAGAATTCTTTGCAAATAGCGAAGAGGTAAGAGAAGGGAAAATCTAAACAATCACCTCCTATCCCAGACATGCAGGAGGAAAAAGAAGTACCAAGATAAAAAGGTTTAGGAGCTTTTAATGCCTAGACTGAAAAATCAGACTGGGTTTTTCATGAAGTCAATGGTCCGTCCCTGGCAGCGCAAGAATTGGCCCCTTACCCGGCCATAGGTAGAGGCCCCGACTCCCCCACAGCGGTCTTCAGGAATGGAGGGGTTTCTCTTGTAGTGCAGTGCAATACCTCCCCCACCCAGAGGCAAGAAAGGAAGGAGAGTATGTAATGAGCACCCGTGTGCCAGGCATGATGCAAGGCACTTTCAAGTGTTATCTCTGTGAATCCACACACCAATCCCATGAGGTAGGGATCTCCATTTCACAGATGAGGATCCTGACCCTCAGAGAGTTAATCAACTTATCTAATGCCTTAGAGTGTCCAAGTCTCAGAGGTGGGATGAAAATCCAGGCCTTCTGACTCTAAGTCCAGTGCCTTTTCCACTTTGCCACATGGACTTCTCCCTCTGATCCAGCCTCAGTCTCCTATAAGAAATTCACTCGTAATATCCATGTTTGTCCTGGTCCCAGTGAGGAAAGGGGTCAGCTGAAGGCAGCTGAAGTATGAGGATGGGTGGGGATCCTGGCAGGATCTTTTCTCTAAACAGCAAATATGACCTTAAGAAGTCACTCTCAGCTGAATAGAGGCTCCCAAGGAAACAGTGAGGTAGAGCAGTTTGCAGGTGCAGCAAAGCCCACCTTCCGCTGATTCTCTGTGGAGTTAAGTATTGTAAGACAAAAGGGACAAGGATCAAAGGAAGGTGAAGAAAGCAACAATCAGGAGGGGGAGCAGTAGTAGTGTAAAACTGCCAAGGGAGGTCAGAAGATAGTTCAACAGATCAACGAACACGTTTCCCAGCAATCAGGCAGCCTGGAAGATCTTGTTGCTCCAGGCCAGGTGTGCAGTCATCTGCTTGCTGAGAATGACTTGGGGGCCTTGAATGTGTCCTATGCCAAGGCCTCAGGGCACTTATTTCGTCAGCAGCAGCGGCAGCAGCCCCAACTCATTCAGCCTCTCCTTGGCCACTGCCTCCCAGCCCCTGTTGGCCTGTGGGTTACGGGGTGAGGGGTGCAGGAGCCCCTCCACCTGGACCTCTGGCATCAGGCCCGCCAGAGCCCGCCGTGCACGTTGCTCTGCCAGCCGCCCCACTCCCACCACTAGCCGCACCCCCAGCAGCTGCACCTGCCGGCAGAGGGCTGCGTCACAGATCCCAAGAAGCTGTTCTCGCTGTTTGGTAGGCAGTTCGGCAGGGGTGAGGTTGCGTCCACTGGGAGCCAGGAAGAGCAGAGGACACAGGTTGTGGACAAAGCAGTGACGGAAGAAAACCTCAGGCTGCCCACAGAGGTTCCGGAAAAAGCCCCAGAATCGGGCACCGCTCACCTCTGACTGTGGGCACTCCAGTCCCAGCACAGGTCGCTTAGGGTGCTCTTGGGGAGGAGGCAGCACAGGCCCCCCAATGCCCAACCAGTCCCGGACCACACTCACCTCCCCAAAGGGCACCTGTGGGGAAAGAGAGAAATAGGAGGGCTTCAAATGGAGACCTGGCACCTGGGCTCTGGACCAGCTGACCCTTTTCTACCTTCCTGAGGATCCAGCCTGAACCACCCAACCCCCCACCCAAAGGCCTGAGACCAGGATTCTTGGTCCAGTGGTTTGATTCTGTCCATCCTTCTCTCATTTTTCATTGTGGACCATGGTCCAGAAGATTCTATGTATTTTCCTCTACCCCCAGTAACCGTTGGGACCAAGTGCAGAAGAGTATATGGGGATATCTGGACATACACAGGGCGTGATGGGCAGACAGCCTGAGACAGAAAGGCAGCCAGCGTTAAAGGAGGCACAAGGACAGGGCTCACCACTGCTCTCTGGATGCCCTCTCAGCCCCAAGCCTCAGGCTGTCATTTCCATCGATCATCGCTGACCATCTTTCATCACCCAGTTGGGGTCAATAAAAGCGATTGAGCCTCCTGCCCTGAAGCTTCTTCCCCTCCCCCACCTGCCAAGCACTCCCACTGAGGGGCAGTCACTCATCCTGGTCTGAAAGGAAAGCAAGCAGGCCCTGGAGTCCGGCTCTGTTCTGAGCCTCTCCTCAGCTAAGGAACAGGACCCAGGTTGCCCGAATGCCCTGCATCACTTCCACATGTACCTGTCTACCAGTCTTCCTTGAGAATCCAGTAGTTCTGGTCCCTCTCCTGACCCTAGCCACACTCTAGGGAGAGGAGAGATCCGGCAAGGTAAGGTATGGATGGGGCTGGGACTGGCGGAAGGAAGGGCTCTCAGAGACAATTAGTGGACAGCTCACAGGGGAAACAGAACCACCATTAATGTGCTTGGTTAACTACCGGCAGAGAGACCGGGAGAGTGTCTGAGACCACAGGAGCCAGTGTGTGTACTGGGAGGGGATGAGGGCAGGGGAAGGGAGCCCACACATGTCCACAGCCGTGCACACACTTCTCCACAGCACAGTCAGTCAAACACCCCCACCTTGGGAGCCTCCAACTCCACCCACCAGGGCAAGCCAGAACCTTTACCCCAGTCTGGGCCATGCCAAAGGGTCCTGGGTTCATTCCCAGGAAGAGCACTTCCTTGGGGCCCTGGCAGTAGCGGGTCACATAGTTGCGATGGGGCTCCCATGCATACTCCACAGGATTGTAGATGCTGCCCACAGGCTCCGAGAACTGCAGCTGACTCAGCTCAGCATTGAGTCGAACCTCCTCCTCCAAGAAGCCCTCAGCCAGGCTTTGAGAGCAGGGCTGGGGCTCCATCAAGGCACCTGCAGACTCAATGAGGGGCCCCAGGAGGAAAGACTGGGGAATGGTCACACCACTGTCACCTAAAAAAGAGATGGACAGAGGCCCCATCATCCCTCAGCCCCAGAATAGAGGGACCCATGCTGGCCAGGGCTCCTACTACTGTTTTCTGGGCTCAGAGGGGACCCTAAGAAACCATGTTAGTCATTCCCCAGCCTCCAGGAAGAACTGAGTTGACCTCATTTCTTCCATAATAAAGGACCCTTCCCTTCCAGTATCCTTCCTTTCTCTTCATGTATCACCTAGTGAGAATAAGCCAGAACCACCAACCACCCCCACCTCAAACCTCTTTCCATCAACCAGTAGGCCCTGAGTCCCTAGTTTCTAGGTCATGCTGAGCACACAGTAAACCAAAAAAAAAAAAAAAAAAAACCCGTTGCCGTTGAGTCAATTCCGACTCACAGTGACCCTACAGGACAGAGTAGAACTGCCCCATAGAGTTTCCAAGGAGCGCCTGGTGGACTCCAACTGCTGACCTTTTGGTTAGCAGCCGTAGCTCCGTGAGGACATAGTAGGTTTTGAATAAATATTTACTGGTGACATCCTTTCCGCATCCTTAACAAGCCCACCCAGGACAGGTTGTGACCTGGAAACCATGTGCTGAAGAACAAGATGCAGGGCACACACCTACAGCCCAGAGTCTTGGAAGGGCTAATTACAATAGCTTCCAGTTGGTGAGCAATTGATCTGTGCTGGGTACATCTCACTGATCCTCACAACAACTCCACAGATAGGTGTTATTGCTCCCATGTTACAGGTTAGCAGACTGAGGCTTGGCAAATCAAGCAATTTTCCCAGGGTCACACAGCAAGAAATGAAGCTGGACTTGAACCCAGTCTATCTAACTGAAGGCTATGCTTTTAACCACCCACATCATCCTCCCTTAGTTGGTTAAATCAGTCATCTCACTAATTCTACAACCCACGGTCCCCCCAATCCCAGCCTAGCTTCTTTCCCACATTCAAGAATCATCAGTGGTAAGCAGGAAGATTATTGGATTCAGAACAGACTCTTACAAGCTATGTGACCATGGCCAGGGCACTTCACCTCTCCGAGCCCCAAGTTTCCTCATCCGAACACTAATATCTACTTCATAATGGTGACATAACGACAGAATGAGGCGTTATGTGTACATGGGGGGAGGGGCAGTGTGTGTGAGCCAGTTTTGTAAGCTGTAAAGGCTATTCCCTCCAATCTTCCTTCTCATCACTCCCATACAAACCCAGTGCTCCTGCCTGACTATTCTACGCACGCTTTTAAAATGCCTTTCTTATCCCAGCTTCTAAAACTCTGCACGTGCCACTTCTACAAACCCAACCAAATATACTCCTCAAATCCAGTCAACCAGGAATGTGACCTCCCCACCTCGCCACATATCCTAATATCATACCCATCCTTCAAGATGCAGCTCAAACCATCCCTTTGGTGAAGCCTTCCCTCCTGGGAACACTGCAGTGTTTGTCACAGCTTCCCAGCCACCACACAAATACAAGTAGGGCTGGTGTAGGGCCTGCAACTTGTATTTTAAACAAGCTTTCCCCAGGCGATTCTGATGGTCCATGAAGACTGAGAAGCACTGCGTGTCACCATGGTTAGTGGCTTCTTCAGAATTCACACCCAGTTAGACTTGGGAAGAATGCCCTGTTCAATTTCCCTCAGTACATTCTTCCAGAGTCCTAGCTCTTATTATGTACTCAACAAACACTTGCTCAGCTCCATCCATTCCCTCTTTTTCAATCCTGTTCAAAACTACCTTCTACCAAGGAGTCTTTGCTGATGCACTCCTCTCCACTTCTACTCTGAGTCCGCTCAAGTCTCAGCTGCCCATTTTGCACTCTGCTTGCTGCTTACAGGCTTAGGCTTAGCCTCTGGATGTGCTTCCATTGGATCTGGGCCTCCTGTGGGGCAAGGACTGTCATTTCTTCCTCCCTCTAAATCCCCTCCCTGGATGAAGAGTAACCTCTTCCCCCAGATCCATCTTATGCAGCTGCCAACCTGTTCTCTGGCCCTAGCCTAGGAGATGTGGGAAAGAAAAGAAAGTAAGGCAAAACTTAGGAAATCCTTCCCCAGCCTGATCTCAGAAGTCTTGAACTGATCCGTCTAGGTGGCTACCAAGAGTCAGCTGGGTTCACACAAAAACTGAGAAGGGGTCTGTAAAGAACTCAAACACCTCAGGTGACCTCCTTCTCACCTCACCAAGCAATGCCAGGGTTAGTGAATTGGTTGCTTCAACTCTGGGATCTCTCTCAAACCCAAAGTTGGACGTACCTCCTTAGACTTTTAAGAGACCTGTGCTTGAGACAGCAAGGCTGGGGGTACACAGAAGAGTGACAGAGCCTTCTTTTAGCGTTCCAAAGTTTCAAGACCCGATCTGATAGTATGAGCCACAGGCTGAAAGTCAATCAGTTCAAATTCTAGTCCTGACTTCATCTCTAACTAGGTAAGTTCTCTTGAGCAAGTCATTTAACTCTCCTCTCTATGAAATGAAAGCTACCCAACCTACCACCAGCTGTTTACTCATTTATTTTCAGTATTTGAATCTCTTACATGCCAGGCACTGTGGCAATCTCTTGGCAGGGAAGAAATCCAAAATGAGTAAATGTAGACCAGGCCTTCAATAAGCTCATAAAGTGTGAGAGGACCAACAACTAACTGTAATACAATGTGATCTGAGCTTTAAACATCCTGAACAAAACACTGTGGGAGGCCAAGGGAAGAACTTGGAAGTTCTATCTAAAGTCACCAAGAGTCAGTGACTTAACAAATGGAGGTATTTTATAAGTTACAGTTCATATTAAGTGCAAAGGAAGGGGAGGGTGACCATGATTCCATCTACTTGCAGCAAAAGGCTCTCGCCACTCGGGGCGCAAAACAGTCAAGACTCAGGGCAGCTAAAAATGAAGTACAAAAGTCTAATTTTTTTTCTAAAGTCCTCAAAGAGACTGAGAGATGGTTACATGGGACAACTGTGAAAATGGCATATTAACAGCAGAAAATAAACAAGCTTTTCCCCTGCAGAATTAGACTGAAGCTGGCTGAAGACCTTCACTGAAACATGGGCTGAGGGGGCTGAGCGTAGTCCCGAAGGCTAGACAAAGGACAAAATCACCACTTCTGTGCGAGTGGTACAGACTCATACATACATGCAGGTCTCTGGATGCATGTGAGCCAAAATGAAGGGGTCCGGAGATGCTTTCAAGTCAAAGTATAAACACCAGTGTGGACCCAGCGATAAGTCTTGGGCACCTAGGTTCTCCGACCAAATCCAGAAGTGAAGAAGGAACAGAAGGCACTCTATCCACTCCCCTGTCCCCTAGGGGCACTCCAGGGATCCTCAGGGAACCACCAAATCTTTAAACCACTTATACTAATAATAATATAATAGAGCATGTACTCAAAACGACCATTTCATCCTTCCTCCTATCTCCGAGAAAGCCGATCGTTAAGCCACCACCCGAAACCTCTGCATCCGCCCAACGGGAAAACCTTGCGCTCGCAGGCCTCCCAGACAGTTCCGTGGACTTGGCTCCCCCTAAGCCAGAGCGAGAGGTCCCAAAATAGACTTTTAGATTCTCCGCCAGCCTCACCCGAAGGCCCCTGCAACCAACCGAGGGGCCCCCAACAGCCCACCTTCCCAGCGTCTACTTTCTCACCTGATCGGACTCCCCTTCCGGTTTCCGGTTCCTTTCCCCACCCTACCCCAGGCGCGGAGGACAGTGGGAATCGTAGTCCACCCTGTTTAGGGAAGGAGATTGGCGTAGCGCGATCATTTCCGCCGGAAGTATTCAAATCCCCGGAAGGTGCGCTAAATTAGCCCTGAGTGACGCTGGGGGTTGTAGTTTATTCCTTGCATCAGGGCTAGATCAATAAGTGTTGGCAGGTAAGAGGTCAGACTTTGTAAAGATCTCGGAGATCCTGGATTCTAGCTTCAGAGAGCATCAGGGAGCATCACTCTTCAGAAAGTTCATTCGCACAACTTTTCCCAAAGGGATTCCGAAGCAGGGAGCTTCAGTCTTCCCTACTCTCTCACCTATTTGAGAGGTATTAATAAGGGCTAATGGGAGCCCTGGTAGCGCAGTGGTTAAGAGCTCGGCTGCTAACCAAAAGGTCACCAGTTCACATCCACCAGTGGCTCCTTGGAAACCCTGTAGGGCAGTTCTACTCTATCCTAAAGGGTCGCTATGAGTTGGAATTGACTCTACTGCAGCAGATTTAATAATGGCTAAAGACCACTTCTAGACCTCCTACTGCCCAGGTACAAGGGCCAACACTGTATATAGAACATCCATGGAGGCACTTCTGGCATCTCCTAACAACTCTTTAGCAAAGACTTTAAGACTCTTCCATCCCCTACTACTGTCCAAGCCCTATCACTACGGCTTTACTATTTGATTTCTTTCTCCTCTGCCTTACTATTTGCCCCACCCTATAACCTCCTATCTTTCCAAATTTTTCACATCAAATAATCTGTCCAGGAAGCCTTTTCTGACCCATCGTAACCCAATGGCTGCACCTAACAGTATTTCCCACACCTCCCCATCCCCATACCAATGTCCAAAATTGTCCTACTAGTCCTGTCATTTCCCTATATCGGCATCTGCACTTGTATCCTGACTATAAACCTTTCATTAGATTTGAAATCCCCTAAGACCAGTTATCTTCTAGATTCCTTCCACCCCCACCCCCTGCACACACACCTCAGCACAGCCAGGATTCTGATCACAAAAGCAAAATCTCCCTGCAGGTGGTGTGAAAGAGATCAATGAGCCCCAGAACAGGAAAAGGTAAGATATCAAGGAGGCTACACTATTCCAAAGTCTCCCCTAGTCTGTTACCAACAGGAAAAAAATTAATGGGTGCAAGAGAGCTTTAGGGAGCTGTGAGCAGTGACTCTCTGAAACCAAGGGTGAGAAGCCACCCATTCCACCCTGGCCAAACAGTGAAAACTGAATTAGTCATCCACCACACAAAGCCCATTATCTGCTGAGCTTTAACTTGTACCAGATTCTCTCCCTCTTTCTGGTTCTTTGCCTCTTTCTCCACCTATATAAATGTATCTCTGTATCTCTAAGTCTCTTGTATAGCTTTCTCTCTGTATCTGTGTATCTCTGTCTCCTTCTATGTACATCTCACTTTCTCTGCTCCTTTCTCTGGAATGACTGAAATAAGAATATCCTAAACTTCTAGGGGGCAGTGAGTTTATGTTAATGAGGGAAGAACAAATCAGAAAAGGTGGATGAGAACGGTTGCACAACTTGAAGAATATAATCAATGTCATTGAATTGTACACGTAGAAATTGTTGAATTGGTGTATGTTGTGCTGTGTATATTTTCAACAACAAAAGTGAAATAAATTTTTTTAGAAAAGTATCCTAAGCTTCTGGAACATCTGAAACCCATCTCAGGTTTCCCCTACCTCTGTGTATCTATGCATTTGTGTGTGTCTACACAAAAATTGGAGCCCTGGTGGTGCACTGGTTAAGAGGTTGGCTGCTAACCAAAAGGTCGGCAGTTCAAATCCACCAGCTGCTCCTTGGAAACTCCATGGGGCAGTTCTACTCTGTCCTATAGGGTCGCTATGAGTCGGAATCGACTCGACAGCAATGGGTACACAAAAATGAGGGGGGAGAGGGAGGAACACTGTGTTATCATTTTGTTGCTTAATAATTCTAGGAGGCCCACCATCCCTTGGTAAAGTAGAAGGTCAGCAAAAAAGAGGAAAACCTTCAATGAGATGGACTGACACAGTGGCTGCAACAATGGGCTCAAGAATAGCAAGGATCACGGGGATGGCGCAGGACCAGGCAGTGTTTTGTTCTGTTGTATATAAGGTCGCTATGAGTCGGAACAGCACCTAACAACAACACCATCCCTTGGACAACACTGCCTGCCCACCCCACCCCTCAGCCACTTTGTTGTCAAGCACTCTCAGTTTATCATCTTGGTAACCCCTCCACACTCCAAGTCGGCTGGCAGAAAGGTTCAGACAGGACACTAATGAGTAGCAGGTGAGCAGGGATCCTGCTTCCTTTTAGCTTCCTGGAAGAATTGGATAACTCTTTCTGTCCCTATAAGCCCATCCACCCCAGGGAGTCCATGGCTAGGGAGTCCAGACAGAAGGAGAAACTGAGGCTTGGACAGCCCACAGTGAGTTCCCGTAATGACTCCAGAGGGACATGGGAGCTTCTCTGCCTCTAGTCCATGCTGCTCCTCCCTACTTGGTGAGTCCCTCTCCGGGAAAATAGGAGTGAGGGGCTCTCCTGAAGTGGGGGTGAGGGAACTTAGAAACAGAAACCCCGAGACTTCCAAGAGATAGAGCCTGAGAGATGAAACATGGGATGGGGCCTTCTCAACCTGCCTTGTGCTTTTCTTAGTCTCCTGGCCCTCTGGATGGTCTCCAAGGGGCTAGCTGATTGTGATTTATAGATAGCCTGTGGAGGCAGGGACAGAAGCAGATCCACGCTGTGGCTTGGATGAGAGCCTAGAGAGCTGGGTCACCTAGGTTGGGGCCAGCCAGGCCTAGGACTGGCTCTCAGCCACCTACCAGCCTGCTCCCAGGGCCAAGTCCAGGCAAGAAGGGGTTAACCTGCTTGTCTTGTTTTCCTTTGGTCTCCTTGGACTGCCAGAGCTGCGTTGGGCCATGAGCGCCATCTATCGGCCTCTGCAGGACCTAGCTCTGGCTCCCAGTACACTTGGGCTAGGCAGATCTTTCCACCCGTCCCCTGTCTCCATGCTCCCAGAGTAGGGAGGGGGAGTTGACTAGCTGCAGAAAACAGGAATTAGGTATTGAAGAGGTTGAGGACCATGCTTCCCCCTCTTCAGGTACCAGGTGTCACCCTGTCAGATCCCATCACCTATTGCCTGGGGAACCTCAAGAGGGCTCTGGTATAGCCACCTCCCCCAGCTCTACAACACTGGGCAGTCAGTCATTCTCCCTCCATCAGTCCACCAAACTTTAAAAGAACATTGCGGGGGTGAGGGGACATTAGAGAGAAGGTGGTACACAGCAGAGACTTTTAGAGTATGGGCTCTGGAATCAGACTGCCTTGGATTTGACTCCCAGTTCTGCCACTCACTAGTATTTGACCTTGGACAAGTTACTTAGCCTCTCTGTGCCCCAGTGAGCTCAGCTGTAAAATGGGATAATCATTGTAACCTGTGTCTTCTTTTATGATAATTAAAAGATTTAATACATAAGATGCCTAGCACAGTACTTAGCACGACATCGTGCCCCATAAATGTTAGCTGTTGTTGTTGTTATTGCAACCATGAGCCAGGGTCTCAGGCAGATGCTGGGTCTCAGGGCCCAAGATCCAGGCCCACAAGCACAGAGGGACAAGACTGGACATCTCATTCCTAAAGATTTCAACAAAGACAGTGACCCATATGGGCTAGGCTTGGGGGCTAGAAGTTCAGAATTACAAGCAAGTACTCTCCAAAGTCAGCAGGAGAAGGGGCTGGGGACAGGAGAAAGAAAGCTTGAGGTAAAGATATAGGAGGGAAAGACATTGACAGGCCCTGAAAAGGGCCTGGATTTAGGGAAAAGGAGGGGGTCCTTGATGTGTGGGGCCAGCAGGGGCAACTGCACCCCAAGGACATGACCTCCTAGGCACAGGCACAAAAGTCTTGAGGTTTGTTCAGACTCCCAAGCCTCCAGAGATATATTGTGTCACAGCCCCACTCCAGCTCTGTGGAGCCCTAGCCTTCAGTGTCTTTCTCCCACAATGGAGGCAGCTATCTACAGGTCCTACAAGTCCCATCTCCAACTCCCTCCCAGAACTGGAGAAACAGGGGAGCTAGTCTGAGAAATAATCCATTTGTTTCTTACCAGGCTCAGCCATCTTCCTGTTTCTGTGTCTTCTGTATCTCTGCCTCCATCTACCTTACTGGGAAATGGGTACATAGGATTCGCCTTCAAGGGGTAAGGGTAGGAGGGAAATGAAATCCTCTCAGTTAAGACAGAAATGCAGAGCCAGTGGGGTCGCTGGCTCAACCTCACCACCCTCTGCCCTTCTACTGGCCTCAAGGCAGCACAGCCCAGCTTTATGGATTGATGACCACTTAACTGGAGCTCCCAAATCTCTCCAGCTCAGGTGGCCTCCCTCTCTCTGGATCCTGGACACCTGGGTCCCCAGGAGAGGAGTACAAACAGGCTGGATGGGCTGATTTGCATCACTTACTTGGGAAGCAATTATCGGAGGAGCTGTCAGCTCAGGGAAGCTCTCTCCTTGCTAATCGGATTTCGCCAGAGCCCGGGGCTGGGCGGGGCTGAGTAATTTGGCTTGATGCAATGGTGGGAAATGTCGGAGCCAGAAGGCTGGACAATCTGTCTGAGCGGTGTTAGAGTTGTCCAGAGCAATTATTCTGAGGGGACCACACAGATATCAGACGGACAGCCAGCCAAGGGAACTGGACTGATCCCCAAGTCCTGCAGCAGGAAAGAAGGAAGTTAGACTTTTGGCAGAGTGGGAGGAGCATCTCCAACAGGTTGGACCGAATTAAGGAAGAGGGGGCAGGATGAGGCTGGGAGAGGGGCTGAGCAGCTAAGTCGGAATAGGACTCAAGAATCCCAGCTCCAGCCTGCGCAACACTCAAGCCCTTCCCTGCCCTCCCAGGGAACCAGCAAGAGC